CATGAATAATGCTGCGGTAAACATCCTTGTACATATCCTTTAGTATCCGTGATACTGTATCTGTAGGATGAATTTGAAATTGCAACTGCTCTTTCAAATGGTGTGTGTATTTAACATTTTACAAATGACTGTAACTTTCTCACAAACAAAAAATATGCAAAGATTTATTTCCTCACATTCTGACCAATTGTTTATTATTTAATTTTTCTTAGGTTACAATGGCATGTTGTTTTAATTATTTTTCTTTAATTTGGAGGGAGATGAGTATTTTGTGTAGGTGTTCATTGGCTTGCCTTTCCAGTCTTTTCTCCAGTTCGTACTCTCGCTATAGCATTTTGATCAGTGACTTGGAAGAATTTCGCATATTAGAGAATTAGCAATCTTGTCAATCATGTTGCAGCTATTTTCTCAATAGTAAACCTGATTATGTTTTCTTGTGCAGATGGTTCGCATTGTATATAGTCACCTTTGTCTTTTTTTCTTGTGATTTAATGGGTTTTGTGTCATGTTTTGAAAGTCCTGCTTCAATCAAAGATTAAAGAAAATTAACCTATGTTTTCTTTTAACATTTTATAGTTTAATTTGTTCATATTTAAAAATGTTATCTCCTTGGAATTCCTTTGGTGTTAGGAATGAGATAGAAATTAAGCCTTTTTATTTTCCAGGGGCCAACTCTACTTGAATGTAGGGAAAGAAAAAAGTCAGAGATGTCTTCCAGCCTGCCAGCCTAATTTTATTCCTCTCATGGTTTTTATTTATATAGAAAAAAGGTATATTTAAAAACAAAGAAAAACCACTCTCCATCATTATATCATAAAATGTAAAGGATTTCCATTCTTCACTCTTTGGAAATTTCTATGTTAATGCTGATGTACGAGAGAGGCTTCAGTAGCAGCCTCTTACATTTAAAGTCAGTGTACACCCTGCATATAATGTGCCATTTGGTTTGAATATCTACTCAGTGTTAGTGATGTTAATTATAATGAAATAAAAAATTATGGCCTACTTTTTTTTTAAAGATTTAGTTTCCCTTAACCCCAAATTTTCCTGAACCCTTTTAGTGGTCAGGGAAAGAGTACTGTGTAATGTCAATTCTATAAGGAATGACAGATCTGATTCTCCCCTAGATTTTGGACTGGTTTGTACAGATATGTTTGGCCTTGAAACACGTACACGATAGAAAAATTCTTCATCGAGACATAAAATCACAGGTATGTTTCTTCTGTCACTTCTACATAGATTCTAACTTCCAAATGGGTGAGGACATGGGGCCCGCCCTGCCCTGCGGCCAGAGGTCTTGAGCCCAGTCTGCCCCAGAGGGTCCACCCTCTCCCTTCTCACCCCCTCCCTCCCTGACGGGGAAATGCCCCGCAGGCGCGGCCTGTGTGGCCGCTCCTGCCCGCTTTCTGCGTCCTCTCCTCCTTGGTGATGGAAAAAGTCCAGAAAATGTGTCTAAGGTTGTTTTTTTTTGAGATCTTGTGTATCTGAAGATTACTTTATCACTTTCTTTTTAATGATAATTTGGATATAAATTTTAGGTTGGAAATTGTTTTCCTGTGCAATTGATTTGCAAATATTTTCTCCAGTTCTGTGGGTTGTCTGTTCATTTTCTTGATCATGTCCTTTGCACAAAGATTTTTTATATTAAAGACAAATAATTTACATTTTCTTTTGATGCTTGTGTCATTAAGAAACCACTGCCTGACCCAATGGCAGGAAGATTTCCTCCTATGTTTTCCTCTAGGAGTTTTATAGTTTTACTTACTAAATTCAGGTCTAGAATCCATTTCGAGTTAATTTTGTATATGGTGTGAGATAGAGGTCTACATTCATTCTTTAGCATGTGGGTATCCAGTTATCCCAGCATTATTTTTAAATTGGATTCATTTTTATGATAAAAGTTGTCAACTCAGAAGTGAACTGTAACAATATTTCTGGTTTTTTTCCCATCTCTGTTACAGAACATATTTTTAACCAAAGATGGGACAATACAACTTGGAGATTTTGGAATCGCTAGAGTTCTTAATAGGTAACATAGCAGTTTTACACTTTGTTTTGGTATAATGTTTTCAGTGAAACTTTAACTCATGATGATGCATATGTGATAATTTATAATACATTTAAGTATCTTAAGCTTCTCCAATAATTCTCTTTCTGTTGTAGTACTGTAGAGCTGGCTCGCACTTGCATAGGGACCCCGTATTACTTGTCACCTGAAATCTGTGAAAACAAACCTTACAATAACAAAAGGTATTTAAAATGAGATTCATTACATGATATATTCCCTTTATATTTTTCTGTTATACTGTATTTATTAACCGTACTTATTAATGTATACTAAAATCAGTAGTACACATATGTAAATACATTATTTGTGCATATCTACATGTGTGTGTATACACACTTTAAATATATGATGGGGAAATTGTAAAGAAACTTATTTCACTAGTTTGCTGAAGGAACTATAGAAAGAATCACTTAATTATAGTATTTAAGTCATTGAAAATAGAGTGGTTTCTTTGGCCTTTCTCTTTGTAATAGTCCCTATTATATATGCAGTAGTTCAATATAATATTTATTGAACACTTACTAGATGCCAGGCACTATTTTGAATGATTTCTGTGTTAATTAACTGTAATCTTCACAGTAACCCTGTGAGCTGTAGGTAATAGTCATTCCTCCTCTCCTTACACGGAAGCTGGATTGAGAGCGGTGAAGGGACTTCAGAGTCCTGTGCATCTGGCCCCCAAGCCCGAATTCCTCGTCGCTGAGCTGTTCTGTGGCTGACAGATTGTAGGACATGTGGGCGGGAAGGGAATTCTGCTGCTGAATTCCCATTACCACTCTTTCTAATGGAAAAATCCCAACCCAAGAAACATTGGTCTTAATTTTGGAAGCACTCATAGAAGCCAGAAGGGGAAAGTAGCTGGCAGTAATTCATGTATTTGTGATTGCTGTCTCCTCCCCACAGCCCCTTTTTTTTTTGAGGATGGGGAAGAAGCTGTATTTCAAACCTGAGCAGTAGAGGCCAAGAACATCATCCTAGCAATATATTTTTTAAACCAGTTTAAGTTACAATGATCAGTCTAGTCCATGGGATCTATTATCAGTGGATATTCTAATGGACAGCAGCATTTTCTTTGAGCTGAAGTAATTCTACATTTTAATGCTGTTTCTGTCTGTGGATAAGTAAACTCTGAAAAATATCAGTCTTTATCATTAAATTAGGAATGGATTTAGTCATCCTTTGGAGAATTTTATATAAAAGTAATTTCGTGGTAAAAATGGTTTAAAAATATAATGGATGAGCTTCATGAATTATTCTTAGACATTCATATTTTTCTCAATGTCTTTTTAAATGTTTTATTAATAGGATCATTAGTCTAATGTTTTTGTTATATTGTTTAGTTTGTCACATGTACAAGTGACTAAATTGCTTGTTACATTTACATTTTCTCCCACTTGAAACTTGAAATTAAATAGATTTGGGGGATTACAGGTTTTGTACTTGCAGATTTTGTGAGGTCGGGTGAAGATAACCTTAGGATGTCAGTGCTGGGCTTGGTTCGCTCCCAGTAGGTCCAGCTTGCAGGACCAGGGCTTTTTGCTTCTGACTGCCGAGACCACTGTAGCTGCAGACTCTGGGTTTTTCCTTATAAAAATAGAAATAGTCTTCTTTTTTTTAACTATAAAAATATGTTAATTTTAAGGTATAAGAAGAAGAGACCAGGTAAAAAGAAGATAGTGTATTTAATCTTTAAATTAGGATAAAGTAATATATATATTCTTATATAATATCTCAGTTGTCACAGGTTTATTTCAAATTTAATTTTAGTAAATTAATATTGTCTTAATCACAATACATATTTTTTTACCTTAATTACAATACAATACACATATTTTTGTTTTGTAAATAACTGAAAAAAGCAGTTGACCTTTGTGAAGTAAAATAACTAAATGGAATATCCATAAAGTGTACTGATTTTGTTCTCTTAAATATTAAATTTCTTTAATGAAGCTTTAAAATAATTGCTTGGGGTGTAATTTTTTTAATCTGTGAAAGCTGCTTTTGCCACTTGGTTTTGGCAGAAATCTAAAATTTTAAAGGACATGCTTTATAGCACACATTTTTGCAAAGCAGTTTTCTGCTCTTTTTGTTCCTTTAAATGAAAAAAATTGTAAGTAAATTCTGATAGAGAAAATTCCTCATTTTTCTCTTTTCTAGTGACATTTGGGCCCTGGGGTGTGTCCTTTATGAGATGTGTACACTTAAACATGCAGTAAGTAGAAGTTTCTGAAATACTTTAAAAATTATGTCAAAAAGTGCCTATAATATTGCTATTTTTTAAATGTCATATACCATCTGTCAGATAACCCTCTGATACTAGAAATTCTTCTCTGTCAGTTTTAAATTTCTCATCTCTAAAGTATAAATTTAAATAGATTTTCCCTTAACATGTATGCGTATTATGTATTTGTTATAACACATATATCATACTTTTTTCTGGAACATTATTTCTAAAGACAGACATTAATTTACTATCTTTTTATGTTAAATTTATATATGAATTTGGTATTTTAGCTGAACAAATTTTATTAGTTTAATTTTAGCAGTTTTTCTCAAAACACCAGATTATTTTGGTTTGGAATTGAAATTATCTAAAAAATATTTTTTACCAAATACATTAAAGAATTTTATCAATTTAAATACACTTTAATTCAAAGTACATAAATATTTACTTTTAAGGCTTTTGAGGTGGCACATAATACACTAAAGGGTGGGGCACTATTGTCCTAAATAGGTTGATTTTTGATCACTTTCCATTTCAAAATCTTGCCATTTGAAAATGCTTCTTACCTCATTGATTTAGCAATAATGTATTACTACAGAAAACTTAAGAAAATAGGTAAAAATATGAAGATGTGAAGAAATATCAAAAACAATTCTTCTAAACAGCAATGACTGCTTGTAATATTTTGTTTCTTTCCAGACTTTCTTTTAGATTAATTTATAAATAGAGTTTAGTTTTTTTTTTTATCGAAAGTTTGATTATATTGTATAAGCAGTTTTATAGCCTGTTTTTATTGCCTTATATTATTTGGTGGGTATTTTTCTTTGTTGTGTTTTTTCATGGTTGCATACCTTCTATATTGCCTTAGATTTTCTTTTTTTTTTTCTTCCTTTTTTTTTAGGTGATATCTGCTACAAAATCATATTTTATTTTTTTAAAGTTAACTTATTTTGAACTGTAATTGACATACTAATGTTATATGGATTTCAAATGTATAATACAATGATTCAACAGTTACAAATTTTTCTTAAGCATAGGTTGCCAAAGTGATATAGTATGGTGTTTATTTCTAAATAATATGTATTTGAAGATACATGTTTGAAGGATTAATTTTTCCATGACATATAGTCATTTTGGATCTACACAGTATATTTTAAAGAATCTTTTCATCTATATTGTTCTGTCATCACTGCTTCTGTGTTTTGGAATAGTTTATTCTGAAGTGGACACATGAAATTAAGTAATTCACTAACCTTTATGAATAGCTTGTCAGATAAGAGAGGAATGAAAATGGGTTGTAGTGAAGGAATAGAATAACATCTTTTTGCATGTAGGATTCCTTCTTAGGTGCCTAGATATTTCTAGACATGTGAAAGGTACTCAAATTTTAATAAACCGAGTGACCTATTTTAATGTGTAGGAGAATTCATTGAGCAGTGCTCATTTATCCTTGGTATGATCACCAGTGTCTCACTTACAGTATGTTTTGTTTTCCTAGTGTGTATGTTACGAATGTATCGGCAGTGTACAGCTGTTCTATAATATTTTCACAGAGTTGTCAAAAAGCTTAGTTCTACTTACTTCCAAAATGAAATCTTCAGATTTTAAACTGTCCCACCTCCTGTTTGTGTTCATTGGTTGGTTAGAGGGGTTTCTTTGCTTCAGTTAGAGTTTATATTGTGTTTAATCCTAAAATATACATTCCTATCTATGTGGTTTATATTCTCCTTTGGAATATTTGCTGTATGGCTGATTCCATGGCTCTTGGGACCATCACACTTAAAAATAATAATAATGGGAAGGAAAGTAATTAGTACTTGTGTTTATTATATTCTCCCTGAACACTTAGTGTTCTGTAGTTAATTTCCTATTCTAGTCACCACATCAAGGGCACCAGAAGGCAGGGCTTAAATGGAGGTCATCAGGTTTGTTCGTTTATCATCTTGATTATTGTTAAGTTTTAGAAAATCTTTAATTAGTAACTCTAGTCCATCTTTTGGTGTTTTAAGTAGGTAAAAATTAAGCTTACAGTAAGTTATAACACTTTGTAAGGATTGATACTCTCTTTGAAATATATTTATAAATAACCAACTGAACCTTGCTCCAAAGAACATATGTTGATTAAAATACTTGAAAAAGGATCTTATTTCTGTCCTGTATTGATAGGAAAAGAACTACTTCTCATTGCTGATATTCCTATTTTCAATTTATTTACATTCACATGTGTTGATTTATTTTCTGCGTTTCAGTTTGAAGCTGGCAATATGAAGAACCTGGTGCTGAAGATAATCTCTGGGTCCTTTCCACCTGTGTCCTTGCGTTATTCTCATGATCTCCGCAGTTTGCTCTCCCAGTTATTTAAAAGAAATCCTAGGAATAGACCATCAGTCAGCTCCATATTGGAGAAAGGTTTTATAGCTAAACGCATTGAAAACTTTCTCTCACCTCAGGTATGTTTTCTTTTTTAATTTTATGATTATAATTGAACAGTAGGGTTATGGTGCTTAACTAGGACAAGCCCTCCGACGGGCGGGGAGAGCACATCGACTTTGGGGCAAGTGCCTTTTTCAGACTGTGCTGGGGCCACCTGCCTTTCCGGTCTTCTGTCGCACTTCCCGTCCTATTTGTCTCTGGGAGGGAAGACATTCCTCCTGTGTTGCCTTTTAACCCTTAACACTTAGCTCTGGCCTTCTGATCGCTGAACATCTGGTAGTTTTTCCCACACCAAGCAGTTCTGTGACACCAGCTGGGTATCCTGCAATTCAGTTCAGTTCTGACCCGTCTGCCTGGACACGGCACAGATCCCATGGGTTAAGGGCTCAGTCCCACCACACTGCCCCCATTGCAGAAGCCACCTGGAAGTCTAGCTTGTCGCCGGTGCTTCTGACCCACCAGAGGTTCCTACCACCCCAGCCTTTGGTCTGATTAACTTGCTAGAGCAGCTCACAGAACCCAGAAACATTTACTTAATGTTTACCAATTTACTGTAAAGAGTATTATAAAGGGTACAGATGAACAGCGTGATGCAGAGGTACACAGGGCAAGGTCTGGAAGGGTGGCAAGTATGGGAGCTTAAGTCCCCTTGTAACTGGGTGCACTGCCCTCTGGGCATGTTTGCCAACCCGGAAACTCTCGGAACCCTGTCCTTTTGGTTTTCCACAGAGGCTTTATTATGTCGGCATGATTGATGAGATCATAGGCACTTAGCGATGGTTCAAACTCCAGCCCCGTCCTCCCCTTGAGGGCAGGGGAGTGGGTCAGACAGTCCCAACCCTCCAATCACCTGGCTGGGTTCCTGAGGGGCTTTCCAGAAGTCACCTCCTCAATATAAATCCAGGTGTGGTTGAAAGGGGCTTGTTATGAATAACAGAAGCCACCTTCGTGCTCCCACCATTTAGGAACTGCCAAGGGTTTTATAAGCTGTGAGCCAGGAACTGGGCAAAGACCAAATGTGTATTTCTTAGTATGAATCACAGTATCACAAAACCACTCCTCTGACTCTAAGGTTTCTGTTGTTCTCCAAATTTTTATCGTGGTAAAATAACTCCAAATTTTTACTGTGTTAAATACACATAAGATCTGTCATCGTAACCATTTTTGAGTGTATGGTTCAGTGGTATTGAATGCATTTCTAATGCTGGACAGCCATCACTGCCTGCACCTCCAACACTGTTCATCTTGTGAGCAAACTCCGTGCCCCTTGGCCTGAAGCCCCTGGGTCCCCCCCTGCGGCTCCCGCAGCCGCCATCTGCTCTGTGTCTTCTTGGGTCTCCAGCTGAGACGATCAAATGCTCCTGTGCCCCTCCTGTGAGCAGTGGGGTCATGAGTGTGTGTGCACCCTGAGATGGTTGTGAGGATTATAAGTTATGATACACGTAAAGTGCTCAATATATTCTGTATGAAACATCGTGTATTGCTTTATTACACTAACGTAAATGTCCTACTGTAATTTATATGATTATATTCTCTGATGGAAAATGATGGCAAACTTGCTTTGTGGGCTTTATGAGTATGTATAATAGATTATTGACTCACGATTTCCCTTCTCGCACTCACATATAGGTGCATCATAAATATTTGTTGAGCTGAATTGAATTTTTGTTTGGCAAGATTTATGAAAAATTTATATCAAATCAATTAGAATTCAGTTATTGATATGAATATGATCACCTGGAACTGGAATTATTTTGCATTATATGTTTTGTGTGGCTTTTGTTAATTTAAATGATCACTATTAAACTCATCTGTTAATTAGATATCTAGTAAAATCATAATTTTATTACTTTTTTATGCTCACGACATGAGAGGGAAGTGTTGTATGTCCTCTGGCTTAACAGAACATGTGTGTGAACAAATAATCTTCAGAAAACGGGGATGAGAATTTAACTGTTACTACCAGCCAGCAGATGAGTAAGAAAGTCAGTTAAAATTTGGAGGTGAAAGGTCACTTCTATGGGACATAGCAGCAATACTGAAACCTGGGTGTTTTATAAGATCTCCTCTGTTACAAGTAACATTTTCAAGGACAAATTTATGGTACAATATACTACTGTTTTTTAGCAACGACTAGGGAAGAAAGAATGGCTCCATTTAATCTTGCTGATTTTTCTCTTCCCCCATACCAGCAATTAGGACATACAGTCTCAAGACTGAAGCTCTGAACTCCACCTAGCCAGCAGTGAAAAATATGTTCTAGCCTGATACATCAAAACTTACATGGAAAGAAAAAAGGACATGTTTAGTATATGCATAGCCCCTCGTTGCTAGGTAGACACTGCTCGGATTTCATTCTTCATGACAAATTTTATCTTTTGTTCTTAAGATCTCTCTTCTGCTGTATGTCACTTGTTCAGTGTTGTAATGAGAAAGTTTGTGATACATTTTGTAAGGCTTTAACTTTGGAATGGCTTATGAGCTTTATTGCATCATGAACTATTATTTCCAATTTCACTACAATATTCTTTACAGCTTTTTTTTAATCCCGTAATTCTGTCAGTGCTGTGAGCCAAGGTGACGGCCCAGTTCTCAGTCTTGCATATCCTGGAAGCTTCCTCTGGATGTGGTTCGATAGGTCATGGATAAGCTCTGACTCATTAGGAATGGAGTTGTTGCCCATTAATGCTTAAAATAATGTACAAATTGGGAGAGAAAATTACTTGCAGGAAAGGACAATGATTTTGGCTTCTCAAAATACGTTCATAAATGCTAGGGAGTAATGGAATGTTTTACTAATAGTAAAAAAACACACTTGTTAAATTATGTAAGAATGTTCAAATATTTATGCAATAACATGTTTACAATTACATATTGATAAAAGTGAAAACTCATTGGAGAAGCTGAGAAGATTCAGAGTAAAGTTGAAATAACTGAGGGGTTAATCTGAGAAAGGATTAATGAAGTGACTCATTACAAGTTTTGAAGTAAATGAGGGATATGGATGCTTATACTGGGAGGTCGTTCCAAACAGGAGGTTTTATATTAAATTGTTGAGACATAGAACAGGCAAGCGGTATATGGGAGCTTTTGTGGCCATTAGGTTAATTTGAGAATAAAGTTTGTCTGGAGAAGTATTAAAAATAAACTGGTAGGATTGGGGGGAGTTGGCATGAGAGGAAGTTGGTGAAGAGATTACTTGGGCTTAATTAGTCCACAGTTTATTTGGCAGTATAATTGTGACTGTAAAAGGGAAAAAAATGTATTCTTATTAAAGAGAAGGTTTTTTATTTTGGAAACTTAACATCTTTTCTGTTTTTTCCTCTTTCAAATCTAAGCTTATTGCCGAAGAATTTTGTCTAAAAACATTTTCCAAGTTTGGAGCACAGCCTATACCAGGTAAATGGAATTTAATTTGAGTCCTTTCACTTTTTTGCAAATAACCAATATACTAATTAATAATATCTACTAATTATACTAGAGATATATGTAGATATAATAAGTTGGGATAATTACAGATAAAAATGCAAAGGAAATGCATTTTTAAATTGCATATATGATAATATATAACACCTTTTTATAACAGTGTCCATTTCTTGTTGGCCTTACATAAATGAAATGTATCTTGAAATCTATCTTATCAAATACTTAGCTGATATTCTGAGAACATTGTCATAGAATATTATAAAATGTCTTAAGTGTAAATTGTTGTGTTAAATACTTTTCTTTGAGAAATACTTAATATTCTGAAAATTTTAAAAACAAAGTTAATGTGAAGTCAGGCATCTTACCAAGGATAGTTTTCTTCTAAACGAGGCCAGCAGCAGTCGGATGTTTGTGCCGTCGTGGGTATGGTTACAGGCTGTGTATACACCATCCCTTTATGTGAGAGGGGAGTCATTTTTCTCTAGATAGAAGAGTCTCAGAGTGGATTTCTAAAGCCAGTGGGAGTTAAGATTTGAAGAGTATATTATGCCTCAGACATACTGCTTTGCATGGTCTACCCCATTCTGAGTTTGAGTAAATTAGTAAAAATAAATACCATATCATAAGACAGAGCCCACGTAACTTGAAGTGGTGTGGCGGTGGGTTCGCAGGGAGGCAGCTGTGCTCAGCTCTCCTTAGAGATGCTCCGACCCGCCCTGTCAGTGTGCAGTCAAGATCTGGAGGACGATTCTGCAGCTTCTCTGGGAGCTAATGGGAGCCACTCACATCTGTTTCCTGGACATCTCCATTTGTGCGCTTTTGTGCCTCTAGCCCCTTTGCTGGCCGAGTGACAGGGCTGTGACTTTGGGTATCTGCCTTCTGATTGGATCTTACAGTGGAACTCTCAGAGGCAGATGTCAGGATACTGTGGGAGTGTGTGTTTGGGAAGCCTTACCCTATCTTCAATATACGTTACTTTTGAATCTCTAAAATGCCAACTAAATGGCTAATATTATTTTTATCTTTATAAATAAACTGTTAATCATGTTATATGAGTAAATGTCATTATAAAAATTTAAAAGAAAATAAAAATTGCCCCTAATTTTAATACACACTGTCATATTTGGTGTGCTTTTTCTGTGGTAACATATGCATAATCATTGAAAATTGGAACAGTGTTAGAAACAAAGGTTTGTTTCTTTTCATTCACACTGATATGGACATTTTCTAATGCAATTATTCTTTGAGAACTGAGTTTAATGTTAGTATTTCATTGTGTACTACCAATTAGATTTTCTTCTTACCCCTCCTAGAAAGGAAGAATATTTGTTGAAAGGGGCTGATCTGAATTGATTCAGCACATGATAGAAGCCTGAGAGAGACCAGGCTGCAAGAGGGAGAGAGTGAGGTTCTCCTGGGGCTTGGGGGGCCGGATCAGAGGGTCCCCTTAGCACGTGTGGAAACCGGGAGGGAGGGGGGGGTCTGGTAGGTAGAGACTATATGCTTTAACTTCCTTTATCATCTTTGAGAGATGTAAATCATAGATTTACTTCCAGTTTCTTCAGTTTAACTGTTTTTCTTGAATTTTTCATTATGACGGAACCTGGTTACACTTCAGCAAGAGTTTAATACATACTGCTGCAGGTATTATCCTCGTGTGTGAATTTTTTGTTTCTCTGATCTCTTTAAAAGCCATTCATAAACATTATTCTTGATAAAGATTGCCCTTCAGAAAGTTTGACCAATTTATATTCTCACCAGCAGTGCATAAAGGAATCCATTTCATGGAACCCTTAAAAGTGTGTTTTCAGTGAGTCTGTCCATATAGACATCATTCTTTGAAGATCATATATGAAGAAAGTATTAAAGTTGCTCATAGTGATGGAATTAATTAATATTTAACAGTTGCATTTAAAGTTTATGTCCTAATTTTGAAAGTAATTTCTGAAACAGTGAATGTTATTTTTTAAATTTATTTTTAACAGCTTTGAGATAAAATTCATATACCATTCAGTTCACCCATTTAAATCTATGATGCAGTGTTTTTAGGATCTTCACAAATATGTGCAATTAGCACCCACAGTCACAATTAGTGATGTGCTTTTTTTATTTGGGAAATTCCAACCTCTTAGAGAAATGAAGCTCTTTGTTTCTTTCAGAAAAGTGGCTTTAGTGTAAAAGCTCTAATGAGGACCTGCTCAGGAGTGAACAAGATGTTTCATGGGGAGCTCTGTCGCCGGTGATCGTGAAAATGAAAAAGTGCCGTCTTGATGGATTTTGAAATTAAAGATTTAATATAAAGAACTCTAAAAAATTCCCTGTGCCTTTTCATACAGCTAAAAGACCGACTTCAGGACAAAGCTTGGCTTCTGTTGTGCCTGCTCAGAAAATTACAAAGCCTGCTGCTAAATATGGAGTGCCTTTAACATACAAGAAATTTGGAGATAAAAAATTGCATGAAAAGAAACCACTCCAAAAACATAAACAGGTAGGATCATGTTACAAACTGTGTATTAGTAACAAATTCAGTTTGACCCTCTTTTATTTCAGCTCAGTTCAGCTATTTTGATATTAATAGGATCGTTTTTATTAAGTTGCTGAAGAATGGTGCTGTTCTCTGCTTTACCTGTCTTCTGAAACTAAGAAGCTTCATAGAAGTCATGAACATTAAGTACATGTATTAAGTAAAGTAGTTGGTGCTATAAAAAGAAAATGATGTTATAAACGAATTTTCTTTTTTTTTAATTTTTTAATTTTGATATCATTAATCTACAATTACATCAAGAACATTATGTTTACTAGGCTCCCCCCTTCACCAAGTCCCCCCCACATACCCCTTCACAGTCACTGTCCATCTGCGTAGTAAGATGCTGTAAAATCACTACTTGTCTTCTCTGTGTTGTGCAGCCCTCCCTGTGCGCCCCTGCACACACTATACATGCTAATCGTAGGGCCCCCCTTACTTTTTCCACCCCCCTTATCCCTCCCTTCCCACCCATCCTCCCCAGTCCCTTTCCCTTTGGTAGCCACTAGTCCATTCTTGGGCTCTGTGAGTCTGCTGCTATTTTGTTCCTTCAGTTTTCCTTTGTTCTTATACTCCACATATGAGTGAAATCATTTGGTACTTGTCTTTCTCTTTTGAATAACCAAACCAGAGCCATTTGTTTCTATGCATAAAACAAGTGAATATCTATGATACACTTGATAAAAATCTGGGAAAACTTTGTATTTGAGAATTCATTATCAAGTAAATAAGGCAAAGTCATAGAGCTGGGAGGAATGTGATCATATACTCTGTTGTATTTCAGATGAGAAAATTAAGGCCTGTAACATTTTGGTGACATGCCGAAGAACACTTAGTTTTAGGAATTTGATATTTTTCTTCACATCAATAGCTGCATACTTTGACCTATTTTGTTTTGGATTACATATGCACGTAATATATATATAATACACACACATACACATGTTCAGATACACATGCATATATATGTGTACACACTGCTTTAAGATAAACTTCAGAGTAGGAATGATCAATTACTGGTTAAAATTTATCATAAAGTAAAAATTATGTATCAGTCTTCAAATAAGTTATATAAGTCAACATCTGCTCGGGACAGAAAACAATATTTTGATCAGGAAAGTTTAATATAAATAATTGTTAACTATTTTTCTGAAATTAGCTTAAAGGGGTAAAAAGAACTCTAAAGAATGCAGAAATAGGAGTTACAGGAAGCAGCCACTGTCCTGGTGCTGAGACAGAGCACCTGCAGAAGGGACACAGTTTGGAAGCTCTCCCAAGCCCAGCCTCAAGGGTGAGATTCAGACCTTTGTGGGTGTGGAATGGCTGTACCCCCAAAGGTGGAGTTCACTGAAGCGCTGTGAGTTGAGGCTGGCAGATGTGAAGCTGTCCACCGCGGAGCTCATGAGGCTCTCTAGAACCCGCCTACAGAGCCGGCAGACGTCCTGGGAAGCTGCTGGGGGAACCGCGAACCTGCCGGGGGAACCGTGAACCTGTCGGGAAGCCTGCTGAGGTGCTGGTGAAGATAACTGGACACTGCTGAACTCTGGGTAGTGGCTGGAATGCCAGCTGGGCCACCAGCAAGACTGGGGAAGCTGGCCTTAGGGGTGCTGCTAAAACTCAGTGGGGAAGCTGGCAGGGACCCTGGCCGGAGGCCCCTGGAGACTCCCCCCAGAGGCGAGTGCCATGGGTGCCCGCGTGCTGCAGTAACGAGGAAGGAAGCCAGCTGGTCAGCAGAGGCCGTTTCCTGCCGCAGGGTCCCTCCAGCATGGTCTCCTGGCCAGTGCTAGCCATGCCAGCAAACGCGGGAAATGTTTCTGTGTCTGTCCGTTCCCTGGCACAGGAGGACCCGTGAATGTGCAACTCGAGTCTTGCTTCATGTCTCTGGAACCGCGTTGATTCGGGCCTGAGTGCACCAGACCCATCGCACCGGTTGACCTTCTTTGCTGTATCTCCACAAGAAGCCAAGCCCTAGGCTTTCCCCGCTGGCCCGTCTCAGCTGCACAGGGCTCCGCTCACACCCTGACCTCCTCCTACCCCCCACACAGCTCCCCCAGCCACCCCCAAGCCTTCACAGGACACAAACGGAAGGAGAAGTCACCGAGTGTTGAGGCCGGGGAAGGGAGCACAAGTGGGCCCTGGACGACGGCGTGGAGGGGCCGACGCCATGCCCAGGGCTGCTTCCGAACAGTGCTGGCAAAGCGGGCCCTGGGCAGACCAGGCTCGCGGGACAACGCGGAGAGAAGAGCTGGAGGCGGCAGGCAAGGCTTCGGGAGAGCTCTGCTGTCAAAGGGAGCAGAGAAAGAGGACACGAGCAAGGTCTCTCCGAAGACTGAACACCCGAGAGTGACAGTGACACCGCAGCAGAGGATGACGGGGGCCGGCGCCCTCAGCGGTGAGGGGGCAGGGGGGCCCTAGACGGGCACGGGGACAGATGCGCCCTCAGGAAGGCAGGCGGGGCATTCGCGAGCAGACAGGGCCGACGGGCAGAAGGGGTCGCGAGTGTGGGATCGTTTTCTGCCACTTGGCTCTACTTTCTCAGTGAAATGGGAAGGAAGGTACTTGGCCTGAAATGAAAATGAAAAACAAAGCGGAGGCAAGAAATGAACGCCTAGGAAGTGGGAGAGGCAAGGGGCGGGGGAAGTACAATCGGGTGGTCGGGAGACGCCCGCCTGGCCCTGCGGATCATAGTGTAAGGGGGGACCAGGTACACCAGGAGTTTCCTCCGACCCCAGAGCACTGCCCACGTTCAGGCAACAAAGAGGACGCAGCTGTGTTCACCATGTCAAGTTTTTGCCAGGTGATTTCTAATAATGGGAAAAAATGGCAAGAGATTTGAGGTTTGGGAAACTATTATAATGAGAGAACATGGAATTTAAGCCAGAAAAGGAAAATAAAAACTCGGAGAAGAAAAATGAAAAAGCTAGTGAGATCCACGGCCCCACCTGGGACAAAGACGTCTGCAGGCAGAGCCCCTGAGGAGCCAGACACGGGCAGCGGGCAGGGAGTGGGACGCCTATAACCGGGGCCAGGGCCAGGGACTCTGTCCGTGGCAAGTCCGGTGCAATGTCCGCAACCGACAGCTCCATGGGGAGCTGAAGACCAGACCGCGGAAAGAGAACAATCGAGAGAAGAGCATGCACCACTGGAAGGACCATCATTTTGGATACTGAAATCGAGAATTATGGCAGTTGTGAAACATAGTTATGAAGTGACAATGCGTCAGGTGTTAAACTCTTCAGAACACGAAGGGCTGCAGGTGACCTTAACGTGGAGGGTCATAGCAGGCGACACAGTGTGGCAGCACGAGCCCTGGAGCTTTGGGGGGTGGGTCAGGGAGCAGGGAACGCACCTCCCTCGTCCTCCCTCGTCCTCCCTCCAGACTGAGCGGTGTGAAGGGACCAGAGTGAAACCAGTCGCCATGGTGGAGAGCTGCTGACGGTGTGTCCAAGTTTTGCAGAAAACATGGTACAGTCACACTTTAGAATACGGGGATCAGCTGATTCGTAAGCACCCTGTTCACTGGAATCCCACCCGGCCTTGCGTGCTTGGTCCTCCTGCGCGGCCGGCCGCCCTTCCCAGCCTCCTTCCCGGGTTCCCCTCACGCCTGGACCTCCAAACGCTGAAGCGCCCTGGACGCGGTGCTTGCTGTCCGCCCTCGGTGCCATGGCATCCTGGGATCCGCAGCGTCTGTGCACCGACACCCAGGTTTACGTCTCCAGCCCGGGTCCGTTTGCGGGACTCCAGACGCGTATCTGCCCCAGCTTCTCTAATTGGGTTTCCAACAGGCATCTCAGGACTGACGTACATGCAAGAGCCCCTAATCCACCCCCTCCCCGAGTGGGGCCTTCTTATTTCAGTCAATGGCAACTCCGCCCCTCCATGACCTCCCCAAAACCTCTGATCACCGTGATCCCCCTCTCAGCACCGCAGCCCGCTGACCCTCACGGTCAGACGGCCCCTCCGCCTTCCTGGCACATCAGCCCTGGCCGCCTTCCCGGGGCTGTAATGGTCATCTCCTGGCGGAGCTTGCCGCCTCCGCTCTTAGGTCTTTGCACCTGTTCTTACCGGGGCAGCCTGAACGCTGCTTCCGAAGTGACAGTCAGGAATTGGGCTTCTCCTGCCCCGACTCCGAGTAAAGCCCAGTTTTTTTGACAGCCTAACGTGCCCTCTGCTGCCCCATTACCTCTCCCAGCCCCGTTTTCCTCTCCCCTCTTGCTGCTGTCAGGCTGGCTATGCCAGGAGACCTCGTTGCCTGCAAGCGTGCCAAACACTTACATGAACAATGCGTTTCTTCTTGCTCTTCTGTTTTGGAGGCTCTCCCTTGAGAAACTGTGCCGTTTCTCCCTTCTGGTCTGTGCCCAAAACTCACTGTATGATTAGAGCCATGTCAGATAATGGCCACCCTCAACCCCAGGCGCACAGTTTTTTATTCAGCTTCTTTATTCAGCTTTAGTTTTCCATGTTATCACTGTCTAGCATTTCCTTTTATTTGCTTATTGCCAGTCCCCTGCATTACCACGCAGGCCCCATGAGCAGGTGGGAAGTGACCCAGGTGTCAGGGCATGTGGTGAGGTGAGTGTTCCTTGGGTGAGTGCACGTGAGCTGTGACCCGGCTGTCAGGGCACGTGGTGAGGTCAGTGTTCCCTGCATGAGTGCAGATGGGCTGTGACCTGGGTATCGGGGCACCCAATGTTAATTCTTTCAAAGAATGAATAACAAGCATTAAGTTTAGTAAAACTCTGAAAAGGCCATTTTATTCTTGGAAAATTTGATTAACTGTTAAGATATAAAAGCTGAAGAGAAAAAAGTGATAATGGCCTACTGTCTTGAGAACACTGAACACTGTGTCTTTATTCCATTAGGTCAATGAAGGATAAAAATACTTTCAGTAACTATTAGTTAAAAAGACAAGTAGTTTACCAAGATGATTATCAGTAGTAGTACTAAAGATAGTAAAAATTAAT